ATCATTGCATAATCTTCAACCCGGACTCGACATGTATACTAGGTATTCCATATTAACTACTTATCCTTGTCATGCATGAATGCAAATTAAGCATACCTGGGTACTCTTTCGAGGTCACACCGGCCAGGACACCGGGCATCGACTTTGACACAACCTCCCATGCCGCATCTCAGTTATGTGCTCCCAAGCGGGACGGGCCGGGTAGCCCAACTAATGTCTGCACTTGGTGAAGCTTTTACTACCATGCATTTCACGCTGCTAGCTCATATTGTTTCGAGATTGATCTTCTCTGCTCAGCTCCACCATGATCCCTCTCTCCCATCTATATAGGTATCTTCAAGTATTGGGTGAAGATAGCCCCCAATAACCACCGCGTCGCCGCTTACTGCATTCAGTGTGCGCTGTGTATCATGCTTGATACCGGGCGTGGATCTGACTCAGCTTTCATATGCTTTGGCTTATGAGGCTACGTACCCCATGGAGGTATCGAGGCTGTGCCCTTACGGCAAAATTGATGCGTTCGAATGAGTATTTGCCGAAAGCGGCGTCATCATGATACCTCTTCCTCGGGATTGATGGTTTTCTTCAAAGCCGTGATGACGACACGGTTCGCATTACGACACGCAACCAAGCATCTCTCGACCATATCGTTGTACAGCATCATGTCGGCGCCGGGCAATTGGCCCTTGAACCACATGTTCGTGACTTCGTCTCGCGTGGGTAGGTAAGCAATACAGCAGGCAGCATAAATCTTATGGTAGTCGGCAACGGCTGGGTCGAGGACGATGGATGGCGGGCTTGTTGCGTCTTTGGCGACCAGCGCTGCGACGCCTCCGGCAATGGTGTCGACGCAGTCGATGCCAGCATCAGCAATCGCGGCTGAGGCCACAGTGATGCAGCCGCTCAGCACGTTCATCGTATCCCAGCCGTCATCGCGTTGATTCTCGGGCGCATGGCGATCTTGGTCGCCCTCTACTATCGTGACAATAATATCAACGCCGCTCTTGGGCCAGCGGTCTGCGATGATAGCCCCTCGCAGTGCGGTCTCTAAGTGTACGCCAAGATCCCTCTCGCTCGAATCCCGCAGGTAACCGCGCCGTTGTTTTGTCGCAAACGGCGCATATTTGACATGAGTTGTCAAGATGATGTGTGGGGAGAAGGGCGCGGATCGTGGGAGAGCTCGTGGGCCGTGGACAGTGCAACTTAACTTGAGGCTTGTGTTGCTAGGGCCAGTTGGATTGGGATTGACCAGCTCAAGGTAGGCGGATCCTGAAGCAGACGGGGTGACACCTGTTTGAAGAACTGTGCATGAAGGTTTAGCCAGCGACAGGAAGAAGAAGGCAAACTCGCCGCAGAGTTCTACATACAGATTTTGCGGATTGCATTTTCCAGCTTCTCTACGCCATTCCGAGATGGAGCAGGGCTGTCGTAGACTGGAGGCAGAGTAGCTCCCACAGGGCCATTGATCCTCCGCCGGTCAGCCATAGTGGCCTAAATATTGGGTATCTTTGTTGGCACGACCACCTGGGCCGATATGACTGGCGTGAACTAACAGGTAGCTTTCAAATTCGCTGGGTGTTGAAGCTGCAGGCGAGCTTCGAGAAATAATGCACCTACCTAACCCCCAGGCGCCTTATCGATTGCCCCGCTGGCACCGGCCACCCGCAGAACCAAGTAGCAGGGCCCCACTACCTAACCAGATCCAACTCTAGGGCCAGCCTTTCCCTTAAATTTCATCCGGCAGAATTTTGCCTCTTCGTTCTTCAAGTTCCTTCCATACTTCCACCATTCTACCTCCTGTCAAAGGATTGATCGCAGCACCGCGAGAGCACCACTCCGAGGCCAGCAGCAATGGAGTAATAGGTTTGATTGACGGGGTACTGTGGCCTCATTGATATGCGACATTTGCTTTGGGCGGACTTTCTATGATCTTGGTTTGGATCTTGGAGAAATACAGCAGAGGTAAGAAAACTCACGCCTATCATACTACCACATGACCACACCTCTTCCCCTACTTGCCCATCGCTATTGATGAAATATTTTCCACTGTTCTCGCGATCTCCTGAGCGAACTGAACTAAACATGCACTACCATCTGAAGCACCATCCCGCTTGCGTCTTGTCAAAGCCACTATTCTGAGCCACCAGCTGACTATGGCATTAGCAACATGAATGTGTACACCAAGCTTGTATATCCTTGGTCCCTCGGGAGATGATATTAGTTGGTGAGTATTCATATTTTATCAAAATCGCGCACCCCCGTCGTTTTTTATGATGAGACCTACATCATTCAGTTCTGCTTCTGAACGTAATGAAGATATCCACATACCAAAAACTTACTCTGATTCAACGACTGTTTACCAATCCGCCTGAACAACTTTTGCAATGGGACAATTGACTGACCGTCGCTCAGATTTAACATGACATCGTATGTTGTTAGAGTATTTGTGCCTCGCATTGATGCATAATGAATGGGTAAGCCATCTTCCGTCTGCCCATATTTTTCTATCATGATGAAAACTGTTTATCCATTCAACTATCTCACAATGCGTCGAGCCACCCTCCCACACCGGAGCTGCCTTTCCAGGATAGTGATGATTGGTTGTGGAGTTTCAATCCTACTACTTGTGCCTCGTGCTAGAGCAGTTGACCGTGTCATGCTGGCTTCCGCGCTTTCCATCTTCATGTCTCGTTTTGAGGTGTGGTGTGGAGAGCCGACACATGTGAATGAGTAACCTGGTTTACTGAATTAAAGTGACTAAATCATGTCTCGAACCAAGCAGGTATTATGACATAGCTAACCTGTCTTGTTATTAGTTACTTCAGAAATGAGATTCATCGTCCTGGAAAGTAGTTCCCGTTGAAGGTAAGAATGTGGGAGTAGATGCATCAACCGTGACCGCCAGTAAAGATATCGTGAAAAATTGATCATGTCTTATGAGACTTGTAGAGTCTACTATCTATGGAATGAATACAACGGCATATTTACAACTCTTCACGATCGTCTGTGCATGACTCCAGCGCCGGCTTGGTGGTTGGGGTATATGAGTGTGTCGGCAATCACAACATTCTCTTTTCTCCCAGCGACAAACACAACAACCTCGGCGATATCGTCAGGAGTCAAAGGGTCAACGCCGCTAGAAGCGTCATTAGCGAAATGCGAACATTATCTGCAGACGAAATAACAACTCACGCATATACGGCATCAGCCTTAGCTTTATCACCATAAAACCGAACAACGGAGAACTCCTGCGTCAGCGTTTAGTATATAGTCGCCTAAGTCAAATCAAATCCAACTTGTCCAAAGAAGAAGAAGAAGAGAATGCCTAGGCTGGAAAAAAAAATTGACACTTACCGTCTCAACTTGGCCAGGGTCGATCTCTAGCACACGGACGCGCGAGGCGATGAGCTCCTGGCGCAGGGCATCGGTGAAGCTGCGGACGGCGGCCTTGGTGGCGCAGTAGATGCTGCCGCCGGCGTAGGGCTCGCGGCCGGCGATGCTGCCGATGTTGATGATGTCGCCGCTGCCGCCGTTGGGGCGGCGCAGGAAGATGGGGAGGATGGCCTGCGTCATGTTGATCAGGCCCGTGACGTTGGTGCTGAACATGGTGTCTACGTCCTCCTCGGCGATCTGGGGCGCTCGGGCGATGCCCTTGACGAGGCCGCTGGTTGGTACCAGTTAGTTATCGGTCTTTCTTCACGGCGGCGCATATGTCGGTAGTTTCCTCTTCGCATAAGGTATAGGACTACGCAGTGTAGATAGGAAAAAGTAGACGAAAAAAGCTCGTAACTCACGCGTTGTTCACAAGCACGTCGATCTCCTTGAACTCGTCGGGCAGCTTATCCACGAAGCCGCGGACCTCGTCCGGCTTGCTGACGTCCAGCTGCACGGGGAGCACCGTCACGTTGCTCTCGGCCACGATGTCGGCGGCGATCTGCTTCAGGGCGTCGATGCGCCGCGCCGTGAGGATGAGCTTGAGCCCGCCGGCGGGCGCGGCCGTGCGCGCGAACTCGAACGCCGTGCTGCGCCCGATGCCCGACGACGCGCCCGTGATCAGCACCGTCTTGCCCGCGAGGCGCTTCGCGACTGCCGAGGCCATGGTGCGCGACGATGATGCGATTCCGGGGGTTTTTCTCAGGATGAGGATGGTGTTCTGCCGCGAGCTGGATCCTAGGAATGCCCGTCTGCCGAGGAGTAGTGTGCGATGCAGCGAGGTTGCGGTGCGGTGGAGGAGGGGCATATAGGATATAGGATTTCTTTTGCGACCTATCTATCCACCTACCCTGACTCACAGCGGGAGAAGTAAAGATATGCAAGTCTATGTAAACCTCCTACTGGCCTGTTATTTAGCCTGGGTTGCTTGCAGTGGGCGCAAAAGCTGCTGAGACAAGGAAGGCTGGTATGGTAAGTACCTGCATTCGATATCGGAGCAGAATTAGGTACTGGACTGTATGATGTCGCCATCGCGCCGAGGTGAGGTGGGATGGGGATTCCTTTCGAACCCCGCCAGACGTTTTCCCGCTCTCCCGTCCCCCCGCCGGGTTACTAAAACACCGAGCTCATCCCGGGAACGAACACACGACATGCCAGTGGACTCTTGCATCAGATTTCGGCTGGAGACGAGAATACATTGCAATAAGAATGGCTGTAAAAGCGTCCCTCCCTTTTGGCTAGGCATGTCTGTATTTGGGCTACACCATGGTCCCCTGCAACAGGACAGTACCATCATTCCTTCAAATATGTCCCTGCTGGTACTTGCTCATGGTGTAGGCAAAAACCAGACAGGAGCCAACCTGACTCTTCGGTACCTCATCCCCAGATTTCCTTCCCCATCCTTAGAAATGGGACTGCGAACTGAGGTACAATAGACACTTACCTTACCGGTATGTTTTGCACAGCATATTTGGGGTATCAAGTTTCAATAAGAGCATCTTTGGGCGTTATAAGTGGACTTTAACGAGATCGAATCCCAACAGTAATTTGCTGAACACCAGTGTCACGCTGATGTAGTGTAGTGGTTAGCACGTGGGATTTTGATCAGAGACCTTCGTTAGAAGGAGATTCATCATCTTCCCGAGTCCCCGGTTCGAACCCGGGCAACAGCTTTTTGCTCATGCGAGTTTTCCTGTTGGTTTGGTCCTTTTCCATTTTTACCCATTGTCTCGGGACCTTGGTCTTACAGTAGTCGCGCCGCATGCCCGCCGGCCCCGCCGTCTCCCCCACCATGCAAGGCCGGATGAAGATACCAGCCAGTTCATTGAAGTGGTGTGTAGGAAGTTACTTTATAGATGACAGTATCTGTGTATTTCTGTATCCTCACCTTGTTGTGTACGAAGTATTGCCCCAGCCGATAAATCAAATCGCTAAAACTTCCAACCGTGTACAAATCGCACCTAGCCACCGTGTTGGGTTACTTCGGCTCTATGCTAAATCAAAGGAACTGCGTAGGCATAGGGATTAATGCTGGTGGGTATAGAGCATCTTGTTTAAATGGCGTGTCGTGTATAAATGTTCGGGCCTCAGAGCCGTGACATAGTCTATCTAGATCATGGGTGTCGGGAATGTTGTAAGCTCGAGGGTAATAATCCACGGTAACATAGCAGCGACAAGGGCCGGAGCACTGTTGCCATCTCTCGGGTCGCTACTATGGCCCAACCTTTGTAGATGCCTCGAGTTATTACGGGTTGTATATGTGTGTGTGTGTCTGTTTCTGTATACCATCTTTCTAGTTGGATCTGCGGTTGTTGCAAACTGGGGTAACCTCGCGGGCTACTCCTAGATTCAACGGGCTTTCATAGCCTTTTCAGCCAGTTTTTCGCGGCAGCTATCGCAATATCGTATTCGAACGCAACAGAGCCCTTCGGGCCTAATGGCAAGGGCTTATCCCAGGCATGCTTTTCGCCCTCAACCACACGGACGCTAACCCTCTTGCCACGCTTCTCGAGTCTCTCGCCAAACAACTGTCCTTCAGCAAGGAGCATGTCGTATTCGCAGAGACACAAGTGGACAGGGGGTAGTTGGTTCAGCAACTCATCAGGCATCAAGCCCGGCGACAATCGTATGTCTGTTCTTTCGCGCCGTGGAAGATGTGGGTGTAGGTACGACGCATCGATCAGGTCCGTCAACCCGCTAGGTAATGTCAAATCTGGTTCTTTGCAAGCGGCCCGTTTCTGATATCTATCTAACGTCCAGTCGAGAGGGGGGTAATAGAGGACGAGGCCTGCGATCTTGGGTATCGGCGCCGGTATCTCATAGCTCCACCTTGCAGGGTCTTGTAAGACGACCCAGCTACCCGTAGCGAGGGTCCCACCGGCAGAGAAGCCGGAGAGTATGATGCGGTCTGTGTCAATGTTGTAGCGGTCCGCACGTTGGCATATCTGAACAATGGCGTCGGTACAGTCCTCGACCGGTGTCGGGAAGGGATAGCCTGGCGCGAGACGGTAGTTGACCGAGAATACCACGGCGCCCAGCCCTTGCACGAGCGCATCGGCCCATCGCGAATCATCCGTTCCGCGACCCAGGATAAACCCGCCGCCATGGAAATTGATCACCGCCGGTCTCTTCTCGGTGACAGGTGACTGCGAGCTCTCGGGTGGTATCCAAACGTGTGCGCTGATGGCATCTTTGGCTTTCCACTCACTCAGCGTGGAATCCAGCCATATTGTTTCTGTGGGAGGCGGCGTCGGCACACCAGAGCGGTTACCGAGATTGAAACCGAAGCTGGCTAGAAGCCGAAGGGCAAAAGCGTGGGCGCCTAAAAGCCAACGTGGGCTTTTATTTGCAGGGTTCACGTAGTCCTCTTCCACGGGCGGTGGCCCGATGTCGTGGATGGAGATTTCTGCTGTCTGTTTCGTATCTGTAGACATTTTTTATGGAATTTTTCAATGTGTTTAATGGCGACCCGACGAGCGATGTTGTAGAGATCTTGCCCTGAACTTAATCTTGAAGATGGGCGATGGGACCAAGTGACATAATGACGTCGTGTCTCGTGTGCTGGTAGGCCCTTGCAGCTTGGAAGCTTGAAAAGGGAAGCGCGATTGCGCATTTGTTTCGGAACGGTGGCGAATCATACCGACTGGTTACAATCTTGGCATTACCGACTATTGTCGAGGATGGCAGCCATCGCAAGCTGTATTCACGCATTGCAAATCAATGCCAAGACACAAACGCAGCTACTTCAGTACCCAAATTGAAAGCTTGGTTGCGATGTGTTGGCTTGGGGAACCGTGCGAGGGTATCATGAAACAGTTGCATTCTCGATAACAGGACTTCCCGTTCTAGGCCACAGACGTTTTATGAACTTTGTTATGATCATACAGGCTTTTCCAATACACTAATAAACTTACCTAATGATTCACTACCTGATTTTTACAGTATGAGATGAGAGGCGAGGCGATTCTGTTTTTGTAAAGAAGAATTCCAAGGGAATGCCGAAGGCTACCCCTCATAAAGGCTTTAGTGTCACTTGCTCTATTCATTTCATAATATCAACACCCATCTTCCCAGTTTGCAATAGTTTTATGAGGTAGATTTATCACTTTGCAACATTACTCTAGATGGGTGGGATGTTAGTTGAAACCATTGATCCCGTGGCTTACTAGCCTATCCAGCTCATCACTACATGCCTGCCCATTCTAGGCAAAAAGTCCGAACTGGCGGCGCTACTGGCCCACCACTCGATTTAGGCTTCTTGATCCCATCCGGCGACACGTCGTGGCCGTCGCTCTCCTTTTCAACAACAGATGCGTCAGCTACAGCTCCACCAAAAAGATATCCCTTCTTGACAGTAGTGGCAAGTCGCCCGCCTCCAACGAGGTCCATCATTGTGATTTCTTCATCCCATCCGAAGTGGACGCCTGCAAAGTGACTGTGGAAGCGTAGAGGATCGCCCGGGTACACATTATAGTCGCAACCAAAGCGAAGGCCAGGCATCATATAATATCCCTTATCGTGCAAGTGAGCAAACAAGGGGTAGGACACGGGTACGTCTACAGTAGCCGAAGGTTCTGGTTCTGACCCTGTTAGGGATGGTAAAAGGAAACTGCTAGTCGTGGGTGTGAGCACATAGCCCTCAACCTCGCCAGGTACTGTCTTGGCTGGTTTGCGTGGTGCAGGTGTTGAGTCGAAGAGACTAGTGCCCTCATCTGCCTCAGCGTCGTCACCAAGAGGCTTATTGGTAGATAAATCTTGTGGTTCTTTCTTTTTCTTCTTTTTGGATTTCCCTTCTTCCAAAGTTGGCTTGTTGCGATTGCTCCTCTCGATCACAGCCATCTGCATCTTCTTACCCTGATTCTTAAGCGACTGTAGGTATGCCCGTCGTGATGACTCGTCGAACGCCGCTAGTCCCGCTAGATGGAACGTTGCGTCGTCAGCGACGTAGGCGGCATTCTTCTCGACTAAAACTTGTGCTTCTTCGGGCATAAGTTCCAAGGGAAGTCCCATGAAAACGTTCTGTTGAGGATTCTGGGGGATGGTTCCTACGAATACGGAACAAATGTTGTAGTTCCTGCGTAAATACATCACGTCGTCTATGTCGAAGAGCAAATATCGCCCGCCAACCTTTGATATCCTCACTAGAGGGCGATCGCGGGACAATGCGGAAGCCATGATCCCAATAGCAACTGCGTTGTCTGGGAATAGTTAGTTGATGAACTCTCCCATGCGTGCAAAATGATTAAGCGAAAAGGTATACGATCATTAAAAACCAGATATGGATGTTATCAACAGAATTTGATATCAGTGGATTGACAGATATTAATTGGGTGTAATCATTGTAGAGAGAGTACGAAAAAGTAAAGTTCTGTTTACTTACCTGTTTTTTTGCGTTGAATGTTGGTAAGAGTTTGTCTAGCTCAGATTTGGAGAAAACTTTTGTTCCAGACGCAGGTGCAGGTGGGGCCGCGCCGAGATATTTAGATATGAGTATAAGTAAATATGCAATAACTCGCGTTATGCGGTTATAGCATATAGTTGTTCGTCTTACACGAGATGAGGTCCTGTCTAAGCTCTACTGTATGTCCGCGGTTAGAAGCCTTAGAAATCCATACTCGGCTTTCCAGAATCTTTTGACTTGGGTTCATTCTCTTCGTCGTCAGCTGGCGGGAGGTAATAGGGCTTAATTATCAGTCCCCTGGACCGACTAAGACTGAAAGATTGATCGTCTAGTGCTGAGTGTGACCCGCCTCCTTTCTCGTGGAAAATTGGTAAACTGTGGACTTTGACCAGGCCCTGGAACTTCTCGTCGTCCTTTCCCTCCCCCTTCGAAGATGGCGGAGGCTTATGGATTGTTGTGGATTGCAGTGGTATGAACTCAAACACACCATCACAGAGTAATTCCATCCAACGCGTGAGCCCTGTCGTCCGAGGATAAAGCGAGAGAGGTAAAGTCAGGATAGCGGTCAGAGCTTTCGGATATTGCCTCAACAAAGCTCTCAGAGAGTGCAAGAACTGTAGTACTTCCTGGGGAAGGGAAGACGAGCTGGAGTACATGGTCGGGGCCAAGAGGTTGGGGACTATTACGCGATGAACATATGACGGCGGAGAACTCGCTAGCTTCGATGAAAGATCTTGTATGAAGAGCTTGAATGGAGTGGTCTGCTGGGCTCTAGGAATAGGGATAATCATTGACTGGTGAAAGCCGATCTGCCCCTTCACGTCACCAGGCGATAACCGTTTCGTCAGGTCAAACGAATGACAGAAAGTTGTAGCAGCGCCGCCGTTAGACACACCCCGAGCTCTCTGCGCTTCTCTATCTGAGAATTGTGTAAGTTTATTATGAGTTGATGTGTAGTGAGTTGGCTCACAGCATACCTCTCGCTGCTCCCGCGGAGCCTAAACTCTCATACCTCCAAGCAATTTTCATCTTGTCTTCAGAGGGTGCTTCCGACTTGCTAGAAGACTTGGCATCAGTTGAGAGACCGGGTAGCTCTGCTCGCCAGCCCTCATTCAAACCAAGGACGTGAATTTGGTGCCCCTGGACCAAACCCTCGGCTACATAGTAGCGAAGAAGCATGCCAGCGAAGTCCGTTGTGCCATGTTCCCCGATGAGAAGCGAGGTACCCAGAGGGATGCCAGAGTGGCCAGCTAAGAGATTGTCCAAAGATGC